TTATATGTACATATATATTGGATTTACTAATTTTATTAAATTATTATAGATCTCATGTAGAAACTTTGTTTCCAACCATATATATATATATATATATATATATATATATATATAAAAAGAAAAAAGAGAGAGATAGAAGGGGATAGAAGATAAAAGAAAAGATGACTAAAATTTGTACCTCTACGCCTACTCATTTACATATAGAAGGATGTACATGCATTCATATATTTTTCAAGAGGTCGGATGAAGTGCCATATAATGGATTTCTTTATCAACTCTCATGTTCTATAAGGCAGATCTAAGAGAACAAGCACCTTGTAAACCCAGAGGACATTAATCATGGAGTAAATATCCCAATCTCAAGCTCTGAGCCATCAAATGTAAAACACCTCTATCAGATTAGGGACAACGCCCTTCTCTTTAAATCTCATCATCAACAACAACAATAATAAAAAACAAAAAAAAAGGCTATATAAAAAATTAATTAAATAAATAAAAACAAAGTTTCCATTACTTACTGTCGGCTATGTCTTTTTGATCCCAGTGTCAGATCTTGTAGGCATCGGTAAAATGAAGCAAAAGAGAGTTGGCACTAACTCATTAAGAACGAACCAAGTCTTTGCCCTAGCGGCAAGTCTGTGAGTCACTCAAGGAATTGAGACAAACCAATCTTCATCTGATGCCACTGTTCATTGCATTTTTTGGCAATCTATTTTGCCTCTCTTGAAGTTTTCCTTCTCCAAAATGACTGGCAGCTTTTATTTCTTATTTATTTAGTTTGTAATCAACACATTAAATTTCCCTCCCCTCAGGGTGACCTAATGGTGGAATCACTTGTTTAGTTCCTGCTGCTAGGTATCTTAACAAAGAAAATGTCCACAGTCGAAAGAAAAAAAAAGATTCAAAGTAGCAGCAAAAAATATATTTTCAGGCAAATATTTGATTAACAAGACAGCATTAATTTTATTAATATTTCAATGCTTATTTCAATCCTCAGCACATCCTGACTTTGTATATTGATATATACTCAGATTCACACAGTCTGCCACAAGGCCAAAGTAATGGGGCTCTCAATGAGGATCAAGCTTATTACGTTAGCAAAGCGAAGTGTAAGCCAAGCCCCACACACTTCAGTTTACGCTCTTTTCTTGTTACCCAGATGACAAATGTCCACTTCAATTCCATACATATTGTGCATGTATATCTTAATTCTATGAACAATCCTGGGTATGATAATAAACTACATCCGGCAGCAAGATCAGGGAGTTTTGAAGAGTGTAGAACCACCTCTTAATTGCAGTTGTTCCCAGGTCCACCCTGACCTGGGGTAGTAACACCTGTCAGTGTCCCAGCTATGGGCAAATAGTTAACTCCCAAACTGGGGTCAAAGTACTATGAAAGTATAAACATTTTTATAGTAAAAATACCAGCAATACATTTTCATAGTAAAAAATTACCTACAATACATTTTTGTAAAAGAAATTACTGATGCTTCCAAGAAAATTAAATTTCGGCATTAAATGACCCATAAGGAGTTGATATGCTGCTAAACAAACAAATAAATAAATTCAATGATAAACCTAAAAGTAATTCTACAATATTAAAAAAACTTAAAATATGATTTACTTATTAGCAAATAAAATAAATAAAATCTTATAATCATCGTATATTTTAGGGTAAAAAAATCACAGGGTTTCTGCCAAGATATTGGTTGTTTGATTTTTCTTCTCATTCATCAGGTGCCATTTTTACCTGAATTCACATTTTTGTGGCCATTTATTTATTTATATTTTATATTTGACCTGAATTCCTTTTATTGTCATAAGTTATAAGCTGGACATTTACATTGTGGCCATTGTTATTCTGTCGGGTTTTACAAACTAACAAATAAATATGAATAGACTGATATAGATATATGATAGATGTAAATATATTCATATTGATATATGGCATGAATAGACTGATATAGATATATGTAAATATATTCATATTGATATATATCATGAATAGACTGATATAGATATATGATAGATGTAAAAAGATTCATATTGATATATGGTATGAACAGACTGATATAGAGTAACAGATTGATATCAATTGATAGAAATAGAATGAAATAATTATCAATAATATACTTAAGCTCTCTCATTAGTTATCTAGACAGGGCAGATAATCTTGGAAATAACATTTTGTTTTGTTTTTTTTTGTAAATTTAACCTAAATTCTCTTTATTGTCATAAGGTATAAACTGGACATTTATAATATCAAAGTGTGAGCTATATACTGGGGATGTTAAAACTAAACAGATTCAGAAATTCAATTATCTGGACAGTGTAGTAGTAGTAGCTAATAGAAAATATGACACAGAAATCCAAAGATGAATAAGAATAGTAAAAACTGTTTTTCCAGAAAGTAAACAAAGAGATAGGAAAATGTCATTGGAAACAAAGAAAACCGTTGTATGTAATATCCTAATCTAGCAATGGACAATTTTATCGCAAATAAAGAAGATAATTGAAAATATAGTGATATGATATAATCAGATAGGATACTAATGAATGAAAAAAATACCATAGACAGAACATGTGAGCAATGAGGAAGATTTAAGTAAATAGATAAAGGAATTTTTTTTTTAATCAATTCACCCAAAACAAGGAGATAATGCCACTAAGATGTAATGGGCTACTGGGGGTGAAAGAGAATGAAAAGAATTTACTATCAGCTTCTGCATTTACCTTGGACAGAGTCAGTAATGTGGAGACAAGAGAAGTGCTGCATGGGCAACTGCCGATCTTTCATAAAAAGTACCCCTAATCCAGGGTCTCTCATGACTGATGGATGCCTTATGAGTTATTAATGTTTTAATTTGAGGTTTTATACTTTGTTGTCTTCAGTTTAATGCATGCAACACTCATATCCATGTGAACATGATTCCTGGGGGTTGATTTTATATAGTTCATGGCAAGCCATTGATCATGGCAAGCCACTTCACTGACTCCTACTAGCTCACTAAAAAGTTGATAGTGGGTTAGTTCATGATCCACAGCACAGTGGTTTTTCATTGCTGTTCTCAATAAAAGTAAGCAATCACATACTAGAAAGATAATAGTTTTTAAACCTGATTCTGTTCAAAAGCCCTAATCTTCATCCTTAATTATTCCATTGTTTATTTTATTTTATATTTCCATATTCCCCAAATCCCATATTGATGAACATAATTATCAAACATTTACAGCTCAAGTGGAACTTGTATATACAATCCATTGCAAAGATGGTGGAAAAATGGTCAATTCTAGAAAGTACCTGATTCCACCTACCTTTACAAGAGTCAGATCAGACCAAAAATGGAGTATTGATGCCATATCTAGGTTGGAGCTAACTGATCTTCTCTTTCCAGTCTTGACAATGTTCATGGCCTTGTGGGTGATGAACTGTTTTTCACTCTACAACCCTTTCACCCACAGACAAAAATATTGCCCGCATCTCATTACTATTTCACTATTTTCATGGCAGATGTTTGAGTGAAGTACATTCCTTGGTTCCACTAGTCAAGTTCTTCACAGCTAGAACTCTCCAAGCCACATAAATTGAAACGACTCATCCTCCATCCCTTCATATTCCATTAGTGAAGAGGAAGTTTCACACATACAGCTTTTTTCCCAGTACTGTTGCATTATGGAATTGACTTCCAAGAGGCGGCTTCTCTGATCATGATACTCTTAACTTCTTCAAGTCCAAGGTCAATTCTTATCTATCCTACATATACATCTCTTATTTCCTCACTGTCATGATATCTACTGTCTTCCTTATTACTCTTTTCTCTACTTGCTCATTATTAATGTTTCTGTTTCTTCCACACACAGTAACCACTTGTGTCTTAGTGGCTTTACTGCCTTGCATGGGGTGATAACAATTAAAAGAAAAGGTAGGTGTGTACAGTTACTGGCAATGACAAATGGAATTATTAAGAAAATCATAAATAAACCTCATCGACTAGTGTTATAGAATCACTAACATAGAACTATACCAAATAACAGGAATCACATCAGTTGATGACTTTCAGCAGCAGCAACAACTAAAATGACTAGCACATATAACTCAAAGGACATAATCAAGATACTGACAATCCTACTCTACTTCAATTATTTTAATTAGCAAGGACCCCCCCCCATTAATATGGAGTTGAGAAACCTATTCATCTAAAAAATAGTTTTAGCAGAAAAATTTTATAAATTTCAAATGATGGTAGCACAGACTGCTTGGTCAATGAATGTCAAATGTTAGTTTATAAAGAAACGGCTAACATTATCATTTCCATTAGGGATGAGGAAAACTGATACTATACTTTGATCTTAACCTAATGGCCATCAGGGCTGTAACAGGAGTAGCACTGGCTGCTTGGTCAATGAGATCTAAATGTTTCCTTATGAAATGGCTAATATTATTACCATTAGAGATGAGGAGAACAGATACTATGCTTTGATCTTGACCTGATGGTAAGGGATGAAGAAAAGCTTAACATGAATAGCACTGGTTGCTCAGTCAATGAATATCAAATGTTTATTTATAAGGAAATGACATTACCATTAACCTAAGCTATTATTTATTTATTTTTACTCTATTATAATTGTTAATCGATCTATACCAGGTGTTGACATGTCATCATGAATCTGTATTATTTTCTTTTAACAGATTACTGGACAAAAGAAATAGTAACATTGTTTGTAAAGCACAATTATAATAGAATTACTAGAGAAGGGAGTAAGAAGAAATTGAGATCCAATAATCTCTATGCCCAAGGATCCATTTCTGGATGAGATTGCTAAGAGAAGGAAAAATAGCATGATAACTGATTTATACAAGATGTCAACTTAAACTTTGCTAGGATCAAGAGAGGAGATCCCTAAGGCTTTGCAGAAGGGCTTTTCATCAGAGGTAAGTGTTTCCAGTCTCTGATAAGAAGTATTACATTTGCAATTTATATGAAATGGGATGAGTAGCTAGGGAAGAAAGAAAGAAAGAAAGAAAGAAAGAAAGAAAGAAAGAAAGAAAGAAAGAAAGGGAGAGAGAAAGAAAGGGAGAGAGAAAAAATAAAAAGTGAAAGAAAGAAAGAAAGAAAGAAAGAAAGAAAGAAAGAAAGAAAGGGAGAGAGAAAAAAATAAAAAGTGAGAGAAAGAGAGAGCAAAAGAGAGAGCGAAAGAAAGAAAGAAAGAAAAAAGAAAGAAAGAAAGAAAGAAAGAAAGGAAGAGAAAAATAAAAAAAAAAAAGAAAGAAAGAAAGAAAAGAAAGAAAGAAAGAAAGAAAAAAGAAAGAAAGAAAGAAAGGAGAGAGAAAAATAAAAAGTGAGAGAAAGAAAGAAAGAAAGAAAGAAAGAAAGAAAGAAAGAAAGAAAGAAAGAAAGAAAGAAAGAAAGAAAGGGAGAGAGAAAGAAAGGAGAGAGAAAAAAAAAAAGTGAAAAAAAAAAGAAAGAAAAGAAAGAAAGAAAGAAAGAAAGAAAGAAAGAAAGAAAGGGAGAGAAAAAAATAAAAGTGAAAGAAAGAAAGAAAGAAGACAAAGAAAGAAAGAAAAAATAGATGAAAAAGGAAAGACCGAAAAAAATTAAAAACAAATAAACAAGCAAAAAAAGTAGAAATAAAAACAAAAAGAAAGAACAATAGAAGAAATGGAAAGACAGAAAGAAGAAAGAAAAAATAGAAGAAAAAAGAAAGAAGAACAGAAGAAAATGACAGAAAGAAGAAAGAAAAATAGAAGAAAAAAAGACAAAGAAAGAAATAAAAGAGAAAAGAAAGAAGGAAAAATAGAATTAAAAAAGAAAAAAAGAAGAAAAATAGAAAGAATAAAAGAAGGACAGAAAGATAAAGAAAGGAGGAAGGAAAAAAGAAAGACAAAAAAAAAACAAGGAAGAAAAAATAAAATAAGAAAAAAGAAAAATATGAAGAAGGAAAAAAGCCTGATAGCAAAGAAAAAAAGAATGATAAGAAGAAAACCTAAGAAGAAATGAATAAGAAAAATGAAAGCAGAAATAAAGAGAGATAAAAAGAGAAGGTTAGGTTAAGAATAAAAAAAGTAAAGGAAAGGGAAAATGAAAGAGGAAAAATGAGGAAGAAACTGATAAGACAAGAAGGAATAAGGATTTGAATAAAGAAGAGAAAAAGAAGAAAAAACATAAAATATAGAGAAAAGGAGGCAGAACAAAAGACTGTAAAAAAATGAGAGAAAAAGGGAAAAGGTTAAATAGAAAGAAAGGAAGAATAAAGAAAGAAAGACAATACTTTAACCCCATCGTATAACAAAGATTAAAGAATTGGTTTGTAAATTTACTAGCATAGCAATTGTGTGTTCAGTCCTTGAGTCAGGTAATAGAGACTCAAACTAACAATAAATGAGTAGTACTAAAAAAAGAACAAGATATCTCAAGACATGGTTATTGGAATGAAAACAATCTACTTCAGAAGATTAAATAAAGAGGTCAGTTCGAAATTCTTTAACGGTTACCCAGATTGAGAAACACTTGAAGAGGTTTGGTTGGTGCAACTACCAAAACATTGTGATATTAACAACAAAGATGAGGATATCAGTTCAACTATAAATAATGTAAATAAATATTATCACACAAAATATCACATTGATGTCTTTTTCTAGAAAAAAAAATCATTTTTAATTCCAATGCATCATTCATAGATCCAGTTGCTCATTGTAGAAAATTCAGTATCAGTTTCTTCAGGTGCCACCAATTTGTAGGTATTATTATTGTAATATCTACATATTATTTGTATTAAGGACTCTTTCATTTGGAATTAAATTGGTTTGTCCTGCATAAAACAACAAACCACATCAATCAATTTGATGTATAACCCAATATAAAAAGTCCCAAACTTTAAAGAAAAAATTTCGGCCAGGCCAGCTGGTTTAAGCTTACTACTACCCAACCATTACTTCCTTAACCCTTTCTTTAGCATAACCCCACCCACTATATCTCATCTCTTCTCTCTTGCTTTCCCTGCCTCTATCAATCTAATATGTTCGCCTGGTGTATTGTCTCCATTTACTAAGGAGATTTCGATCTGAAGAGATGAACATTTCAGTGTTCACAAAATAAATTATAATTGAAATGAATAATTAAAGTTTCCTTCTTTATTATTATTATTATAATGCTCTGTAATCTACATTGATCTCCCCCTGGATTTATATCCGCCTTGGAATTGTCCCTACCAGTCAAAAAACTGGTAATACTTATATATATATATATATATATATATATATATATGGAGAGAGAGAGATGTTTTGTTAAAAACGACTGATAAGGTACTATTTAAGATTTTATTTAATTTTTCTTGTGTTCTTTAATTTTTTCTTTTCTAGACAAAGTATGTAGAAATTGTTTAATGTTCTGTATGTCTGAGCACTTTCCGCTATAGTTTTAGCCATTATCAAATATGATTTTATTTATACTTTTAACTGAATCTATGGATTGTTTTATGTATATATCTAGAGTTATAGGATTTATTTGCTAAACACAGTCAGCACATTGTGGCTGTGTTCATAGCTGATGTTATTGACAGTTTTTTTTATTTTTATTAATAATGCTTTTATTATTTTTAGCTTTTTTTCATGGAAGTACTTGGTCATAATGAAAATTTGGACAATTTATACATAATTTGTGTCCAAAAAAGAAAAGTCATAAGAACACAAGAAAAATTAAATAAAAAACTTTACTGCAGTACCTTGTCAGTCGTTTTTAACAAAATTTGTATAAAAGAGGGATTTCTGCCCAAATATACAATTATATATATATATATATATATATATATATATATATATATATGTGTGTGTGTGTGTGTGTGTGTGTGTGTGTGTGTATGTATATCCTATCTATCAATATGTATATATTTTATCTCAGTTCATAAACTGTCTATATTTTCTATCTCTCTCTATATATATTGTCTATTTTTATATATATTCTATTAATCTCTTCATATTTTCTCTCTCCCTCTCTATATCTCTATCTATCTATCTATCTATCTATCTATATATATATATATATATATATATATATCCTACATATCCTCATGATATGCACTCTTTCTCCCTCTCTGTACACCCTTAAAACAACCTCATTTGGTAACCCTCTACCTGGGATGGCTTGTAGGCTTTGGATAGATAGATAGATAGATAGATAGATAGATAGATAGATAGATAGATAGATAGATAGATAATCAAGAAGCTGAGAATGTAGTCTTTATGACTGCTTAACAGTATGGTGAAAAAGCTTGAAATAGTAACTAATATTAATATATAAAAAAACGTTTTGAAGATAGAAGAAAATAAAAGTTAAAAAACACAGTGGACAGTAAGCTTTTTGTCCTTTGCAATGCAAAAAGTAAAAAAAAAAACCTGAAGACTTTTGATAAGAACTTCCTGTTTGTATGTCTTATAGTGCATATAGCAAACTACTTTGATGGCATGAAAAGCAGAAAGGCACAAAAAATACAAAATTACACTAGAGAAGATGGAGTAAAAAAAAAATCACACAGAAAGGCACATTAAAATAGACAATCATCCAAAGTTAAAAAATAGAGAAATAAAATGAAAAAAATGTGTCCCCCCAAATTGAAAACATCTCTTCCTTCCAAAATAAGAAACACAACAAAAGATTGTATTGATTATAAAAATGTATAGATGTATACATATAAATTTAGTTGTATATATATATTATATAATCTCTTGATATATCCTAATTTTTCATATAGATGTATATCCATATATATATACATATTTAACAATATATATATATATATATATATATATATATATATACATACATACTGATAAATATTTATCAGTTTATATACATATCAATAGATATACTATTTGCACAGTCACACACGCATATATATATACATATAAATGTACGTATATGTATATAATATACACTAATACACCATGTCAGATTTTATTATGCAAGTTCATGTTGTGACAAAAAAATTGTTATTAACCATCAGATTATGGTAAAATTTACAGGATATACTTAGTAGGGCAGATCGATTTTGGAATCATGATATTGCACTCAATTCGAAAGTTGGTATTTGACATGCTAAATAATGACACAAAATATTTTTTTCCAAATCCTTACCGTTTCTTGAGGAAACGAGTTTAAAAATTAAGTTTAGGTTAAAAATCATTTTATTACACTTCAATATTTCATCAGTTTCCATTGACCAGTGTGCTTGTGTGCATGTCTGCACCCCACCCAAAGCACCATGCATCTTACATTCTTTTCTATGATGTCTGAGTGAATACCTCTCCTCTATGGGGTGGAGGTGTATATCTGTCATCTTGCAAAAATGAGTACAGCTGTGTCTTCATATGATTCTGCATTTAACAGCTGGGAGTTTACCCCAAGTCACCCTTACACTAGGGCAGGTCGATTTTGGAACTGTGATATTGCACACAATTTGAAAGTTAGTCTTTGACAGGATAAATGATGACATAATTATTTTTTTTTTCAAATCGTTACTGCTTTTTGAGTTTAAAAGATTAAGTTTAGGTTCAAAATCATAGCGGTGGAATTTTATTCCAATGATCAGTGAAAGCCTTACAAAATTTATAATTTACTGAAGTTTTACAAATTGAATATGGACAAGATGCATGGAACAATCACATTATTAGTAATTCATTGTGCCATCAAATTAGACTTTTATTTACTTCAATGAGAAATTATACTGAACAATTTAGCTATATTATGATGTAATATGTTACACAGTGCAGTAGTTTTAGTGTGAATTTTCAATAAACAATGCAAATTTAAAACATTTTGTCTTATAATTTGTGCCCAGCAGTATTATGGTGCTAGATACAATTTTATCTATTTTTGTTTTTATTAATTATGATCTATCAAATCATGCATTGAGTAAAATTTTCTGTAATCTTTTACAATTTTTTTACACAGATTTTGCTCATTGAATACAATAAAAAGATTGCATATTTTGCTTGTGGTGATTCATAATTAGAATTCTGGTTTGAATATATTTTCTATTCAATGTATCTAATACTAAAGATGTTGACTTCATTTGGATTTATTTTTGAAATAGTAAAATTTTGAAATCAGTTTGTAAGCAAAAACCTGCAGAAATTAGGCGTTTCTGTACATTTTTTCAGATGATATTTGAAACTAAATGCTCACAATTTGGTAAAAGATATGAATCTTATTTTTTGGTATCCATACTTATCACATTAAATCCCAACTTTTACATTAAATGCAATGTTGATTTTCTAAAAGGAGCAAAAAATCAACATGACCTAATATTTATATACCGTCATTTTAAGTTGAAACTCACATTATATACTACTTAAAATCTTTCTTCTTCTTCTATGTGCAATGCCCTTTCAGGACATTGGTGATTATGGCTCTCCACAATTTCCTGTCTTTTGTAGCTCTCACTAAATTTTGTCTTTTTGTCATCTCTCATAAATCCTGTTCTACCCTTCATTTACACAAGCTCGTTAGGTAGGTTATGTGCTGTTTTTCCTCAGTCTCTCTTGGCTTCCATATGTTCTGTTAGTGTCAGATTTTCTAAGCACTCTTTTCCTCATTATTTGCCCTAGAAATTTTCAACTATCTCTTCCTGATGTTAAGCATAAGTGTCCTTTTTGTTGCCATTTTCTCTCAAACTCCATTGTTGCTAACATGGTATTCTCAGCATCCTATTGTAAAACCACATTTCTGTTGCCTCAAGTCTCTTCTTTGTCTGTAAAGAGATTGTCCAGCATTCACTGCCATAGGGAAGGACTGATATTACATATAGTTCATTACTGTGCTCTTCATTTTGAATGAAATTTCCTCTAACAACAGTTATTAAGAAAATTTATATTAACATTTTTGATGGGTTTTATTATGCAAATTAAGTTTAACATATTATTTTATTTATAAATATATCCCCAGTATATCGACAAGGGAAACAGATTAACAAAATATTTCATGTACCTTAATGAATCATTATTTTATTATTTTACATAATAATGTTGGTTCCTTCACATTAATTTTCCATCTATTCAGTTTTTTATATTCTACAGTTTTGATTTTACCATTATTTGCAGCAGATTTTATTATAAAAGTTTTTTAAAAATCATTTCTTTGATGTCAACAAATACTTGTTGCCACTTTTGTAATATCAACAAATACACATTGCCACTTTCGTAATGCTTGTTGTAGTAGAAACTTTGTAATTGCAGATACAACTATAGTACACCGTTAAACATATAATGATGTCAGATGCCTTCAAATATCACTTGCACTAATAGTACTTGCTTGAATAGTAATCCGTATAGAGAAATAGTATCATGAATAGACTAGAAAATAAGGATCCGAATAGTAAGAGAGGATTGACTAGAAATAGTGATCGTTAGTCATCAGCTAATTCCTACATATCTGCATTTCCTCTATGGTCACATGATCCACTTAATTCAATAATGGGATACCTGTGATTGCTCACTGATGATCTATGTTCAAACTTAAGTGTTGGCAGTGAGACTTTATTCCTATATAACATCATTTCACCTCGAGTAAGGCAATAAAACCACTAAGTTACAAGGGGTTATTGAGTATGAGAGAATATGAGAAAAAGAGAAACATTATTAAGGAGAGAGAACAATAAAATAAAAGGAATATGTTTAAATTTTTGAAGATCAAACTTGACTGGAAAGCAAAATGCAGAAAGAGAATTCCTCAAGCAAGAAGTGCAGGAAAAAACTGTTAGCATAGAACTTTCCTAGCTGCAGATTTAGCCATTGATTCAATATAATCTTTCCACTTCATGCCAGCAGAACACATTAGCCTGAGAAGTTACTAAGTGTCACTTTACTTGAGGTTAACATCAGCCATGCTCATGGAAGATAAAAAAAAAGTTTCCATCAGATGAGTAAAAAAGAAGTCTTGTTTTGGAGTTATTAAAATTCAATGTTTTCATAATAAAATTGGTATTGTCTGATGTTGGCAAACTTTTCAGAATACATTTATATGATAAATATAGTATGTGCATACATTTATATGATAAATATAGTATGTGCATACATTTATATGATAAATATAGTATGTGCATACATTTATATGATAAATATAGTATGGGCATACATTTATATGATAAATATAGTATGTGCATACATTTATATGATAAATATAGTATGGGCATACATTTATATGATAAATATAGTATGTGCATACATTTATATGATAAATATAGTATGTGCATACATTTATATGATAAATATAGTATGTGTATCCTGTAGAGCTCAAAAAACATCTTGTCCAAGAACTTAGAATAATTCTCTTCATTTATCATCACCATTGAAGAGACCTATTATAATTTTACTTTCTACAAAACTATCTCAAAACATTAATTCATCCCTTCATAAATTTAATTTGTGTGGGTTGAATATTCCCACTTTACAGTCCATCCATCAGCACCACATTCATCCTGAAAAATGACTGTTGTGAAATCAGTTTTCATGTACTTCTCCAACAAGCTAACACCTTCCTCTTTGTGATGTTTAGTTTTCTCAAATATTTTCTTACTGGTCAGCTCACTTTTTTTGCTATTTACTCTTCTAATTTTTCTGTTATTTTTTCTTTTTCTTTTGTATTTCATTTTTGAGATGAGTCAGGCAATATACTTTAAGTTAAGTCACTGGATCAAGTAGTAAAACAATATCTTATATGAGCCAAAAATGGTGGACATCTGAAGATAGCCAAAGTGTACTTGGCTGAAATGTTGTGTCTATAACAACATCTATACTAATCAAGATGAGAACAATAGTTTGAAATAATCAAAGTATATTGTCAATTCCTCATCTCAAAAATGAAATGACAAATTTTTCAAGAAATCTATTATAATTTTACTGCCTACAAAACTATCTCAAAACATTGCTTCATCTCCTTACAGATTTAATTTGTGTGGGTTGAATATTTCCATCCATCAGCAACATATTCATCCTGAAAAATGACTGTTGTGAAATCAGTTTTCATGTACTTCTTCAACAAGCTAAAACCTTCCTCTTTGTGATGTTTAGTTTTTGATAGTTTTGTTGCTTTCAGGTCTTTAGCCAATGTCCTTAATATTCTGCATCTTTTCTCTCTGTTTATATTTGCAACATCAACTTCTCTCAAATATTTTCTTACTGGGCAACCCAATTTTCTTTCTATTTACTCTTCTAATTTTTTTTCAGTCTTTATTTTTGTTACACAGAACAATCAAAGATGAAATTGAGGTTTTAGCCTCAATTTCATCTTTGATTTTTCTCTGATTTTCAGCTTTTTCACAATTTCTGAAGTTGTGTTTCCATCGCTCAGTAACTTTACTATATCAATTCAATCCTCACAGAGTGCTCTATAATTTTTGTCTTGTACCAATCTTGTATGTTTAATAAAGATACAGAATAGCCTGACAAATAAATTTATGTGAGTGTGTATGTATATATCTTTATATTAAGCTCTTTTCTATCTGTATGTGGATGTAATGTGTATACATGCATTTTATGTGTCTGTGCATGTATATATCTCTATATTAGATGGGCAACTCGAGGTAGTGTAATGGTTAGCAAGCTTGTCTCACTAGTACAATTATGACTGAATTGTGAGTTTGATCCTCACTGGGTGTCCCATACTTTCGGAGTTGTGCCACATCTAAGCTACACTTTGAAAATCACTATATCACTATATTAGATTGTTCTTCATGTGTGTGTGCATGTGTGGATGTATATGCGCATTCATGTGTGTGTATGTATATGTTGCTATATGAGGTTGTTCTCTATTTGCAAGTGAATGTATATGAGTGTACATGTATGTGCGTGTATTTATATCTATATCTGTTGTTCATTGGTGTATGGATGTGTGTGTATGTGTGTGCATGTATATGTGGCTGTTCTCCATTTGTGTGTGGATGTTTATGTATGTACATGACCATGTGTACATATATATAATTGTTTTCTTATTAGGTTGTTTACCATTTGAGTGTAAATGCACACGTGTGTACATGCACATATGTGGGAGTATATATATATTTTCATATTAAGCTCTTCTCCATTTGTGTGTGGATGCATATACATGTGTGTGCCGACATATTTTAGCTGTATTCATTTCAGGAGAATAAAATCTGGTTATTGGTTTCAATTCCAACCTTGCTGAACTTTATCAATGTTCGTTTACCTATCCAACATACAAATATATGATTATATATTAGACGTAACAGTCAGGTCGTCACAAAGTAATCTTTATTTCCGTTTCTCTATTTTAATTTCTATGTTGTATGTCTTTCGTAATTTCTGGCTGAGGTCAATGCTGCATCAAGCAGATTAAAAATTTTCAGGAATAAAACACCCGGCACCACCCACACTCCATCAATCTCTGCACCAGACGTCTCTTTCGAAAACATTTGAGACATGTTTGCGACATCAAAGCACTTATATAGGTAAGTATAATAGCGTCATATGATACTCCCTTCATTTCATTAGGAATTGCATTGATATGATACACTGGCTTTGATGCTGCCTGCTTGCAAAAATGCTTTTAAATATCCGTGCTATGATCCAGACAGCCATATCTGATACGTCAAACTCAGATGCACAATCAAGATATTGTAGCTGGCTATCGATAGACACAAGCGACAAAACTCATTAATTATAGTCCCCTAGCCTTTTGATAAAATATAGTTTCTATCAGGGGAATAATAACAATAAGAAAGTATAGTTGTAATAATAAAAATACCAATAGCAGTAACAATAGCAATGATGATAATATTAACAATAATAATCAAGTAATGAATAAAATAAATGTAATATAGTCCTTCATCTGGAGTCAGAAACATCTTTGGAAAATAACGTTGCCTGCATTCAATTTTAATATATAGAAATAAAAAGTTAAATAATTTGAAAGAAAAGATGGAAAATGTATTGGACCACTGCTGGTGTCACTTGGACTTCAGCAACGCTTGCCAGGGAATTCTGGTGTAGACGTCTTGTGTAATCTTGAGATTATCATTGCAAAATTTGTTTGGACATTTGATCACCTTCTTTTTCTTATTTGCATTGTTATACAATACATATCTAATTATTTTAATAATTTTTAAAATTTAAAAAGTAATTAAACACATACAGAAAAAGAGAAAAGATAATGTAATATCAAAATAAATATAAAAATATTTTTATTAATATTATTATAAATATCTGTTATCATTATAAATACCATGTTAATATAAAACTGGACACTGAGGTCAAAACCAAGTGGTGAGTCCATTCCATGCTTAAACACAATCGTCAGGACATGTTTTTGTACTCTGGCTCAATTTTATATATGGTGGACAATGGTGCATTATGGGTAGCAAGGTATATTGCATTATCCTAATAGTTATTGGGTAGCCAGTAACAGTTACATTCTAAATTATTCTAGAAGCTATTAAATAGAAATAATTGTGGATGTGATATAGTTATTTGTAGCTATTTTTTAGTGTTGTTTCTTAACTTTTTAATCATTATTTATTATTGATTACTTAATTATTTGTTGTTGATTATTTTTATTTACATACACTCTATCCCTGATATTAAGCACTTTTACCCATAAATATTGCATGCTCTAAAACTAAATTATATATATGTTTTTAAACAATATTTATTATGAAAAAAGAAATATAACAATTCAACAATAACATTTTTAAATGATTATTCCAGAACGTATGATTATTGACACGTATGATTATTAATAAATTCATTTTTATAACTAAATTCACACAGTCTCGGTTTAAATAGGAATTTAGGCATGCTCAATGAATATATTTTCCACAAAATGCCATCTAAAACCTTTCTACAACCATAATCATAGTGAAAAATTAACCAAAAACTACTTGATTTCATTAGTGATATAACATGAAAAAAACCTAAAAAATCCAACTTCATTTTATTTCTCATTGAGAAAAGACACAGGCATGTCTGAAAATTTAAATTTCTAACATCTTTATTTATCATGCTTTTATTTGGCTTAAAGGCCTAATAATATACTATAAATATTATTAGTCTTATTATCGTTATTGTTATGAAGTTAATTTATACAATTTTTTGTTCTTGAGAATTTACCACAAAAATATTATGTAATATTTATCATTTATAAAAAATAAATATGAACATTTTTTATTCATAAACATTTATTAAATTATTTGGACTATTATCCTCATTTTTGTCGCCATATTTATCACAACGTTTCAGCTGTTGTACACTCCAGCCTTCTTCAGGTGGTTGGAATGTCGAACAGAACCCTTTATTTCGCTCACTGGGGTAGACTGTTCTAGTTCCACATGCCATGTTTGATGGATGTCAGCAATCAGTTATCTCCTGTTAATTTTCCCTTTGAAAGTTCTCCACTGCCTTAACTGGGTATTGAACTCACACTCTTTGGGTCCTGTACTCACACTCTTTGGGTCCTGTCACTGGATCTAACCAACGCCATTATCCACTGTGCTATGTGCCCTTGAATTTCTGGGTATTATAAACCTAATGTCTTCAGCAACCATTTTTACCAGTGCTCATATTGCAATTTTGCTGTTATCATTATATGTTTTTACCAGAGCTTGTTTTATAGAGTTCAAATTAATTGGCAATTAGCTGATGTTTTGCCAACCATTCTAATAAATAATCTAATAAATAGTTTAAATAAAGAATCTAATAAATAAATAGCATTTATTATTTTTGTTGTAAATACTCAAGACCAAAGAAAATATATAAATTCATTTTCATATGTTTGGGGTTTATTATAATTCAAATCATCACTTTTTAAAACAAACTTTGCTGAAGAGTGAAGGTTGTTAAAAAAAGTGTTGTTGTAGAAAAAAAAAGTCCTTTTGAAACTTTGTTTTTTTTGTGGGCATGAAAGTCCATGTTTACCTACATGTTATATGAACTTCAGTTTTTATTTTATTAGGAATACTGATAACTTATTTTGGAAATATCAGGTTTTATTATGTAAGCCAATTAAGTGTAACATAAATTTTATTTATGAATTAATATAAAAATATTGGCTATAAAAGCATATTTGATTAACATGATATGCCATATATCCAAATAAATTATTATTTTACATGGTAATATGGGTTTCTTGACATTTCCTCACAGGGGTTCCCAATCGAGGCTGCCTGCATCATCAGGGAGTGTGAAATGTAATTTCATGGGGTGTGATAGAGTGGCTTGAGTGACTAAGTCAGCTGTCAGTGTTCCTTGGGAGGGTTAGGGACAATTCAATGTCACCAGAAGTTCTTTGCTGCCTATAATACTTTCGTACTCTTATATTTATTAATAAAAATGTTATTCTATTTATAACTAGTTAATTTCTGGATTCAGTTCTCTTTTCTCAATCAAGGAATAATTTGAATCCACAGGCAGACCTGCGGATTGCAGTCAGTAAAAGGATTGCATGTTTTGACACAAGCATGAATAATAAGTAATGGTAATGGTAATATCAGTTGTTTCTTTATAAGGAAACATTTGGTATTCATTGACTGAGCAGCCAGTTCCACTGTAGGCTGAAATTCATAAAATCTTTCTCTTAAAACAATTTTTAAGGAAAATAGGTTTCTCACATTCAGTAGCTGTTAGCACTTTTTCCAGTATTGATGGGGGTTTCCTTCCTAACCTTTTGTTTAAAATAGAGTGGAACATCAGTATCTTGATTTTATCATTATTTTCTCTTTGAGTTACATGCGATATCCATTTTAATTGTTGCAGCTGTTGATAGTCCTCAAGTGATGTCATTTCTGTTATTTGGTACCGTTCTTTGTCATTCTGTAGCATCAGTGTATAGTGTTCAGCAAAGGATGGTCCTCATTAAGACCTACAGGTTTCATTTGCTCAAAGTCATTTTTAATCATTGATCTTAGAAAGCACTTGTATACATCTGACAGTTTAGATATTTCTGAAAGAGTTTGGCACCATACTCCTTCCATTAATTTGCTTTCTTTGAAAACTTTTTCTTTCTGACAATGTAGGTAATAATCAGCTATGTGAAATATAAAGCAGTGTTTGAAATTATCTATAATTTTACTACCTACAATACTAGTCTCAAATATTAAACTGCCTTCCTATGTTGTCTTCTGGGTCATTTTGATGAACTATTTGCATGAAGAACTAGACATTATGTCCATCCTATATAGCTCTACATTCATCCTTAAAATGTACTGTTGAAAAATCAGTTTTGATGTAATTCTTCAACCAGCTCTTATCTTTCTTTTCATAATGTTTACTTAAATGTTGTAGTTCCCGTCTTTCATGTCTTTAGACAATTTTCTTAATGTTCTGCATCTTTTCTATCTGTTTGTATTTGGTATATTAGCTTCTTCAAATATTTTCTTATTGGTCCATCCACTTTTTCCCTTTTTCCACTTTTGATTTCTCTTAAATCTCTGATCTTCTTAAAGACAGTTGTTTTTTTCTTGTTCTTTTGGCGCCAATGTTTTCCATTCCTTTTTTGATTGTTCTTTGGTCTCTTCAGTAGATTTTTTTGCAATTTCCAGTATTTTGTTTCCATCACTCAATAAGTTTACAATATTATTTTATTTCTCTCTTTGTGGTTATATCTTTCTTACAACCCATGACAATCTTTATATCCTTGAAATCAAAAAAAAATAAATACAAATAACCATACTTTTTTTCTCTTTCCTCCAACAGCAGGAGTAGATAGGTTCACCTATTGTCCGATTGAAATTCCTCCTTGGTCTTTTGAAAAGAGGTAGAGGTTTATTCCTTGTTTCCTGTTTAGGATTGAGTTTTTCATTCCTTCTAAAGTCTACTTCAACTCTATACTCCTAATATTTGTTATTTCCTCACAAGTTCTCACAAGTACAGCCCACACCTTACAAAGGGCCTTATCTATGCAAAATATGTGTGATTTTATTTATTTATTTTTTTGCACTTGTTGCACCTTCTTTAGCTGACATTCTCAGCTGACATGAAGTGGAAAGACTATATTGAATCATTTGCTAGGTCTGCTGCGAAGAAAGTTGGTTCACTGTGTCATGCAAGACAATTTTTCTCTCAAGAATCTATCTTGAATATCTATAAGTCTACCATTCATACATGCTCAGAATATTGCTGACTCATATAGTCTGGTGCTCCACTATAAATTTAGAGATCCTTGATAAAATTCAAACAATATTTAGCAATATTATTGGTCCTGATTTATTGGCTCAGCTTCAGTCACTTTCCCACTGCCATAAGGGTGCCTCTGCTTTTTCTATAAATACTTTCATGGTAATTGTTTCGATGAGCTCTTCACGATGTAACAATATTTAACATGGCGTACGGACGAAAAGCGTTAAAAAGACGATTTTTTTTTTTCCTCAGAGAGGGATTCAATTTTCCCTGGATATGGATAATAGGTTGAAAATTACACAATGCGATGCTG